TAAAGTGTGAACTTATTTATAGCGAAATTGGTTTTATAGAGCAAACTTTATTATGGGTCAATCAGGAATTTGAGTGGACCGTTTTTAAGGGAATGACAAATAAATGGTAGATGATATGATAATTTTCTTAGCTTTCACACTTGCCACTGAAATCATGCGTTCCTCAGCAAAAATGTGCTTTTTTTCAACTGACGCTGGTTTATTCAGTAGGAAACAGGAAATTAATCAATTTACTATCAGCAAACGTGTGCCATGGAAGATGGTTGAGCCGACAACTCAAGTATTCCCTTCTTGTTTGCCATAGTTTTCAAGCTACACAAACTGCCATTAGGACATATGTTTTCGGCAAAGCACAATGAAAATCATACTAACCAATATTGTACCCGGCGAAAAAGAACAGAAATAAATTGGACCAATGCACGCAGTAAGCAGGTAATTTAGTGTTATGTTGAAATTTTCCATAATTAATAACCTATTATCCTGTCTCAAGTGTACGAAAAAAGACAGAAAATGTGAGTGATATCCTGAAATACTTAGTTACAGTAAAATTAATTTTTTTCTATAAATATAATAACTGCGACAGAAGTTTGATTTTCAAGGGTAGGAAATTAGTTTTATTTACAGAAATATTCCGAGGATTTCGATAGTTGCTTCCTTAGTAGAAGTTATCTGAATTCCGGCATTCACTTCCCTTTCTTTAAAAGTGCTTCCTGGAAACCGCGTTTTCATTTACGTCAGAGCTTACTAGCATAAAATATGGGAATCCCGAAAAAATGCTTTTGTATAGCGTGCACGCTATCTTTTAAGGTGTAGGCACTACGTTGTTCTGCCTGATACAAAACCCTAGCTTTTTTCTTTGCATATTCGTCAAGTGGAATAATTCTGCTTCTCCCTCAAGGATGTACGTAATCATTCCGCTGCTTCATTTCAGTCTGAGGAAAAAACGATCCGTCCTAAATGATGACTCGCAGAGGTTGCATTTTTATATTAGTTTGGGTTATTTTCAGTTACACCCAGGTGGATTTTAGTACTGGGTCCTTACATTGGTATTTTTATTTTTACTTTAATTATCTGTGAATTATGATGGGGGACAAATACTGACTTCACATAACACGTTTTGGAGTGTATTAAACTATGAATTGTTGTACGTAAAATAAATCAGTTGTTTCCTGGAACTGTTCGACACCCTATTTCATGGTAGCATTGTTTTCCTAGCAAATGTCATCTATTTTTATATAAGGGGATCTGCATATAAATTCTGTACGACCATATCTTTATACTTTAATGCGCACTGACGCCAACAATAGAAAAGATTATATCTGAAAGTTAGGGGCAATAGAGTCAGAAGGACAAAAAACATTTGTAAAACTGACAAAATGGGTACGCCCTTACGTTTTTGCCAATGTTATTTTGCCTCTCTTTCATTTTTAGATTTCCACTATGAGTATTCTGTATGCTATCTTCTGCTATTCCTTTTTAATGAGTGCTCAGCATTTTGATTATTTTCGGAAAACTCATGTTATTACTTAAACTTAATATCTTGGAGGATTGATAAATAATATTTACTGATAATCAGTCCGTTTGCACCCTAATTGAGTATATTATGTTGAAGGAACACGAGAATGCGCCACATGGTATACAAGAAGACGTTTACCATGTCGAACGCCATTGTTGCCTCTACTGTCTGGAGAGGCTCAGAAGAATCCAGTAAAACGGTGCTCCGGTAGGCGCGCTTAAAGCAAAAAAAACCGCCTAGTAGTAACTAGTTCACTACGGCTTGGCGCCATTAGCGCCCGAACACGCTTTGATTTGCATATCCTTCACCCTCTACGAGCTTGCAATCATTTATTTTGCGCACATCTTTTTCATACAACCATCTCCACCAGTGCTCGCTCTGCCTTTGACACAGTTACTTGAACCCTGACGGTCAACAAGTTCCCATAGTGTCTCAGAATTGCAGATTATTCTTGGTTCCCTAGGCCGGTGGGGAAGAGCACGGCCTAGCTAGTAACTACGCCGTCAGCTTTATTTAATTCCTCTTCTTAGCTTATTAACTTCAGACATATGTCAATCACGTGTCCTGCCACGTCAAATCAGCGTTGATTTTGCGAAGGCCATAACAGACGCCAAGATGTCTGACTACTGACCTAAACAAACCGATACTGATACAATTTCAAGGCTGGTTTATAGTGACGAGCACCACAGATGGATTTATGCTTAGTGGCATGCTGGTCTTTGGTGAACAATCTTTACTAAAGTCACTCGTCAATGTGTCATCTGTTATGTGGTGCGAACATTGTCGCTGATGTGAAGCGGCAATCTAAAATTCATTATCCTTCGCTCGCAGAGGAACGATGCCTTTGTTTTCCTACTGATTATGCACGAACTTAATTCTTGATTTGAAGCAATGACTTTAACTTAAAGTGTACTTAAACTTTAAATATCTACATAGCTTTGTCATTGGATTAGCAGAGTCTGCTGTCTAACGGTTCAAAAATAACATTTTATGCAGTTTATGCAGTTAATTTAAATTACCTATCTTCTTTATAAGCGGCTAAAGTGCGTTTTATTCAGTTTTTGTAGTTTCTGTTAGATGTAACTGGACATACAATGGCTGTGATAATTCATGATAAACTTATGACAAGTCTTTGAATAAGAGTAACAAGATACTTCAGGGTTCGCACTGGTTGAACCCTTTTGCCTACATGTTCTTTCTCGGGAAAGCGCACCACAACCTTCACAGCCGTTTGTGGCATTTGAATACCTTATACTTTCTGCTTGCTACGTATTTACTCATATATCATCAGAATCTTCTTCCGCAAGTATCATCATACACCATTTTTTTATTTTTCACTAATGTCTGGTAAAAAATATACCACCTGAAGAGAATAAATAAAATAAGAATAAAAGGACATACAAAGTTTTGGCCGGTAGAGCTCTTGTAGGTGCACTTATCAGTTGCATGGACAATAAGCAATTGAGTTTTAACCCACGGAGTTCACCTTAAGCTGATGACCAGGGGATAATTTACTCTAAATTTCCACCTAACTACTCCCATTGCTAACATATTAGACTTCATATTTCGCTTTTTCACGGAATTAGGATCCCGTGCAAGTTAGCTTTGCATCTTTGTGACATAATATGCCTCAGTTAAAACGTTTTTTTAAGATTTTGTTGTAGATTTCTTATGAAATGTTAATCAGATTATTCACATGACAGTTACTTCGATGAAGTCATCTTAAGAGAAGTGAAATTACAAATCCTGTGGGACCTCCGTGCATTCCCAGACCAACGGCAGACAACTATTTCGACCAAGCTGAAATGTCTGTGTTTGAAAAAAGTCGCAGCCTACCAATGCAGTTTCAGACCCTAGAGGACTGACGATTGACAGGCGCAGAAATAATGTAGGCAGCGCCATATCGCAATCCATAGGCTGTGCTTTTAATTTTAACTCAGGTTAAGGGCAGTTTGCCAGTCAGGAGGGAACACTAAGTCTAAGTCGTCGGAGTTACCATTTCAGTGGCCCTTAACTGGACGATGGACCTACGCATTTGAATGCAGTAACGTCGCATACTTGACGGTCATCAGCAAGAGTATGTGCAAGAGAGAATAATTTGAATCGTTCTGAATCTTTAAATAAAAAACACTGAAACTCTGAAGGTGTTCATTCAGTTAGATTTACATGAAGTCCACGTGTTGGTGTGTATGCATCTTCCTCATTTGTTTTTGAAACATATACCATCGACTTGTGACATCCCACCCTGAACGCATTTTTATATCTGTAAAATCAGTCTGTTGCTCTTTGTTTTGCACTTAAAGGGAACTCACCCTTGCGGTATCATGTTCACTTTGATTTGCACAAGCGATTTGATTATTATCGTCCAAGCTGACTGTTGTTGTGTACGCCTTCCGTTAGCTCAAATAAACGGGTTTTTTGATGCTGATAATTATATGTTCATCTTAACTGTAGCCGGTCCTTGCGACGAAGAGAAGTCAGCACTGGCGGCCTCCACAGAAGAAATTAGTCACTGTCGGAATCATAGTTGGGGAGAAGTCTTTCAAGCGCCCTCTGTGCTCCCTGCCTCCGGCTCCACGTCTGTGAATGACCCGGCCCCTATACCAGAGGCGACACCCTCTGCGGACCTCACAGCGTCGGGCCCAAATGGACGATCAAATAGAGTAAACATTGGTTATTCACAAAGTATTAGCTATCGCCGATCGGATGGTCTCAAGTCGCCGGACTTCGCTACGCGTAAGTTCAGGGTCGCATATCGGAGACATTTCTTATGTTAGAGTTTTCAAAGAGTTAATTCATATCCCGCTCTACCGTCCTCATCAAAAATTTCATATTTCTGGCTCCCAATCCAATTTTTATAAACATTCTGTACTTAAGTGTTAAAAGTCATAACAGTATCGCTTAGCGGCTTTCGTATCAAGTATGGGTAAGCACTAATGCGACTTGAAACTGAGATCTTAAGGTATACTTCTTCAAGCTCTTTCTAGTTGCTTTTTAAAACCGAACATCAAAGAGGGTATCAACTGTGAAGGGCAAAGGTTGCAACAAGCATCTTTTGGGAATAAGGATATTCAACTTCAGCCGCAGCCAATAGTACTCTATTGCGACGCAGTTTTAAAAGCGTAGGCCACATTAATGATAACAAAATAACGTAGCAAATAAACCCATTGGTAGGATCAGGTATCCAGACATAATCTCATTTTATCAATCCACTCTTAATAATAAACCATCCAATATTGTATTCTAAAGGTTCAAATGGCCCTAAACGTCTCAAAGATTTATTATATCCATTAATACGACAGTAACGGCACGCAGGCAACTGTGCGCTGTTTCTTCGCTTATTCTTTTCTTGGGTTCTCTATATCTTATTTAAAATCAGAGCGAGCATTTTATTGCTACCAACTTCACCTTAACATCAGGTAAAGGGATTTAAATCGGCAAATCCATCAGCTGTATGTTTAGGTGACGAACTACTGTAAGCGTATTTTCTTTATTCTACAGACCTGCCGCGTTGAAGCACCAAATTTGAATGAAACCACCATAAGATTTGTAACTTTTCAGCAAAATTTTTTTTTGCTTGTTTGCTCGATAGGAAAGTCAAAACGGCGGATCACCAGCCATGTGAGGAACCACAGCCTGCGCAAATTTGCAAATAGCGCGAGTGATATATTATCGAGTGTCAGACTAGATGAAGGTGTTTTTTTACGTACCTTGCATCTGCTCACCTGCTATCTCCCAGCAGCGCGCTAACCCGTTCTGCGTTCTAACTTACATGGCATTTCTGAAAGACAAAACGGCAGCACATTTTAAGCGTCATCCGGGGGTCATTTAAAGGAAATCTAACCTAATCTAATCTTAAATTCACGGCGCATGGCGTGGCGTCGTAGCTCAAGTGGTAGAGCGTTGGCTGCGTACAGGCTTTCCTGCTATATGTGTTCGACTCCCACCGACGCCGCGGGTTGTTTCACAATTGATTTAACTAAGTTAAAGGATTTAGTTATTAATTAGGAAAGAACTAGCATAACCAATGTCACCCTCATCTCATCGAACATATTTTCGAAAACATTTTCGGAAATTGTAGTTAATAAAATGTGTTATTCTGTTTAATATAGCTGAGGAAGAGTTTAAAAGCAGTTTGTTGTAAAAGTAGACGAACCGAATTTCTTCATCGCCATACGAAAAATATGAAACATGTTATAATGAAATTCACAATGAGAGAACAACATACTGGATACGCGGGTGGAAATAAAATAAACGGTACACCCGTACGATCTTGATAGCCTGAGATGTTCCCCCTGGATTTACCTGTATTTCTGAACTTATTCTGCACCAGCCCTTCCTTTTGCTCGAGCATTTAATCTCGCCATAATTTGAGGATAAATGTTAGTCAGTAGCGGGTCCACCTTCATCCATTTTTTTAAAAAACTGTGTAAGTATTTGCTCACCCTGAATGGATGCTGACAACGTTTTAATTCAGTCTTTCTCTGTTGCTGTAACTTTGATAAAAAAAACTGCAGCTTACGTCCAAATAATCTCTTGTCACCCCTGTAAGCCTGGAACGGGACTGATGGTACTATGGGCAAATACACACTGGCTTTCAGTTTGCGCTTCTAATTTTTATTTGGCTTTCTAGGGACTAATGCACAAAGCATGGCGCCATATTTATCTGAAGAAGCAAAAGTGCACGTCTAAAATACTCTTCCAACGAATTTAGCACTTTAATAATCGCTTTTTTGACCAAAAACGCTTTTACTTATGACCCCCTTGGACTATACGCATATTTTAAACGTATGGCCCATACCCTGAATAATAAAGTGCCGTGAGGACTTTGTAAACGGTGGTGCTTGCATTTTATATTGTGGAAACAAAGCAGCTTTAAACGCACATTTTTCGAGCCTCCACAATGCTATTTCATACGAAGTGCCAGGGATAAGCTTCAGATATATTGTGTGGGCCGTAAGGAACGTCGTCTTCGGCTGCATACTGACATTATATTCTGATTGAAAAGCAGGTTGCTTTCATTTTCCACTAACCACTAACTCTCACTTTTAATATTCCTCGTATTTTTGACCGCTTTATCATTATCTTTTATGTTCAGGGTGCATACCTTTAATTTAAGTTTGCTTCATTTCTTAACGCAACAGATCTAGTACTTAAAATTGAGGTTTAGACCAATGAAGGCTATTCTTACAGGTTGACATTAAAATAATTTAGAAGGTATACCTTAAGCCCCTTGTAAATTACCGAAGATTCTACAATTAGGAAGTACCAAAAGAACCCTAACAATAAGCTCATCCTTATGCACGATAAACGATTCGTATTGAATTTTATTGTCGGGCAGTCTGACTCCAGTACTCTTTCATCTAACATACTCAAAATGCCAGGTAGCTGTTAATATTAAAGGTACTGTTTGGATGTGTTGTTTGCGCTCAATCCTATCTGCATACGAACAGAACAGTTATACTGCTGTATCGTGAACTTTGCTATTTCAAGGTTAGCATGAAGCTGCCGATGAGCTTGTTTCGGGTTATGAATAGTTTGTAACTGATGCTATTGCGGCTCTTTGGTCTTATAATCGCTTTTGCTTCTAATGCTTTACATCGCTATTCGGTTCTCACCATGTCGTTTAATTTATGCTTAATCGCATACTACCTGCTATCTATAATTATCCTTTCAGGACACATACGGCATTCGAAACCACCGTATGAAAGCTACAGCGGATCCGATATCAGACTTTCTAAACAGTAAGTGTTCATATACACACACTTAATCATACAATTCAAAGAAGGAAACTATATAAAGACGTCATAAGAGGTATTTGGTTTGAAAGATAGATCGCCTATGATTGCAATTATTTGTAATCTTTGTGGTGGAGAATAAGTTGTTTAGCGCTTCTTTCTCCATCTTCTTATGCAATTTGTGTTTTTTAGTTACATGTAAAGGAATAATTCGAGAACTGTAACCAGCACTCAGTAGCCTTAAAAATACCTATAAAAATAATAACTTTGAATACGTTTAGGGTATTTAATCATTTTTTTGAGATCGTTCGAGCTGACTAGAAGAATTCCTGTTCCAATATAGTTTTCGAACTGACAACCACGCCAGAAAAACGGTAGCCGTCTTGTGAGTTACCAACCCTAGTCTGAAAACCTACTCTTTCGTGAAACGGAATTATCGCCTTGAAAAAACGATGAGACCTCTTTCGGTTCTCTCAGGTCGCCAGTAGCGGAGGAGTTACTGTGATTATCTCGTTGCCCGAAATTTATAGTGCAGGTTTGTCGTGGCAAGTCAACTAATGTGTGCAATTAGGTAGAATTTTATTTCTGAATCAGGTGGTTGAGACATCCAGACGGCGGGTCAACGTCCGCTCTGCACAGAACAAATTACTGAGGTCTGAAAATATCTCGTACGCTTTGCTGAACACGGCCGCAGAAACTGATGATTTTTACTAGCAGACCCCAGAGGGTAATAATGAAGGTGATGTGTATGTGAGGTTCATTGAATTAGAAAACGCTTGCAAACCATTGATTACTCCCTCCTTCCCAAAAAACTATGGTCAAAACTACTTGGGATGCGATTATGATCGGGCAGTGACCATGCTAGGCCCACCACGAGAGGGTTGGTTGTTTTTACTACGGGTTCGCTCGACTACACACTGGCTTACTGGATGGGTCAGCACTCCGAAAACTAGTCTTCAGCTGATTTTGCTGGTTCACTCGAAAAGTTTAATGGGGTATGGTCAGTGCAGCCTGTGCAGCTTTATGGGATCGGAGATAAGTAATAAGGGCCATGGCAGGTCAAGGTGAGATGGTTGTGGCATGTAGCACGTAACATGCAGACGTTGCAAAAGTTGTGAAGCAATCCCGGCCAATTTTTCCTCTGGGCACACCATAGGCCTGGATTCAAGTCCACCCGAAAAAAACGCAGACCGCTTCTTATGTGATATTCATTGTAATTAGTCGCTTTTTCGGATTCGTCACTGTCATGATTTCCGTGGCATCATTTTGACCACACTGGGTTTAGCGAATATAAACAATATTGTTTCGATCTAACTATTCGATCTTCGACTTGGTATTGCTCCGGTGAATCCGAAACTGGCGTCACGTTCTACTACCTAACAAAAAAGAGTGGTCGTAAATTTGAAGACCAAAACTTTACACACAAGCGTTTATCTTTGATGAACGATCGAACCTGACGTTCACTGACATAAAATACTCCTGACCCAATGAAATGAAAAATACTTTATTAGTGATATAGCATTTTCCTAAACTAACTACAAATACGACTTTGGCTTAGTTTTCACTCAACTGCCAGTTGCTCTTTCACGTTTTCTCATATGTACATCTGTATGCAACTAGATTAATCAAATGCACTGTAGATCAAAAAGTCATACACTGTTATTAGTTTGACGCATGGCATAAACATATGGATGTAGGAACGTATAAAAACTTTAAGATTTGAAAGTAGGTTGGAGGAAAGGAGAGAATCGGAGTATTAATCAGCATTTTACAATACAAACGTAAGACGCGCTTATTCCACGAGGGCTATTTAAAAGACCTTTATTGCCAGAAAGCGTATTTAAAGGTAACAGATTTGTTCATTGGAAATCACCGACCGATACGGTAAGGCGGGTAACTATATAGTGTCAACTATTATATTCGCAAAATGTCGAACACACAATTTTGTAAACTCTTGAACGCTTATTTTTTTCCTGAATCCAGTAGAAAGTACCAGAAAGCCATAAGGAAAAGTAATCTCCGATATTAAGCTTGTCAACATAGAATATTAAAAATTGAATGTAGCCTTAGTTAGTAAAAATATAGATTACAAAATTGCATTCAAAAGAATGCTATTGTTGTCATTATTTCCGAAATAGCAATTCTCTGCATAAATTACGCCAAACGCACTCAAGACCTGACCCTGAGTATAGCACTCAGTATTTATGAGAACCTTGCAGAAAAACGCATAAGTTAAATGAGCGCAATGTCTACTTAGTTGGCCTTCATCCTACGGAGAACCGGTCTACATGATGCGTTGAGTCTGACAGTTGAAATAATTGAAAGGGAATTTTGATAGCTGACCACAATATTGGGGAAGCATTTCGTTTGCTTCAACGTTGCTGCTATTCTAGAGATATTTTATAGGTCGCAATATCAATTGAGAATGAAAAATGTTTCATTAAAGCTTTCAACTACTTTTTTAGAAGGACCTTATTTTGCATTACTAACTCCCACTACTACACCTACGATATCCCTCAGAGGTTCCTGTTCTTAGAAAAGTAAACAGAATGACCAGCAAAGCAGTCCACTTAAGTGTTTAATTATTTAACGAGTTCCACCTACTAAGACTTCTTCCAGAGGAGCGATAGGTATTTCAATGTTAGCGTAAACGGCTGCCATACTTTTAACTTTAGTGAATACTTCAAACAGCTGCTAGTTTTCTACTGCCCATCCTAATTTACAGGAGACTTATTAGCTATCCTTTTTCTTGCATGTAACCTTTTGCAGTCTAGAGAAGAGGGCTAAGTCGTTGTTAAGGGCCTCCGCTAATAAAGTTAGTCGCAATTACCTCAGTATTCTAAAGAATTAAGGTTACTGTTTAATGAGCTGACAGTGCAGTTGGAGAAAATTTCGCACAGTTTTGTTTTCCTAATAGGGCTTATTTTACCCTCTTCTGAATAAATTGCAGATAATTTCGAAGTTACCCCCTTAAGCTAGCTAAACTCTCTTAGTTGAAAAACGAAGACCATTCACCGTGGTACAGGGCTACCGCGTACACGTTATACATAGCTGGTAAAGCGAAACGAATTCCAACTTCCAAAGTGTGTCATTTTTGCAGGGAAAGCAGTCGCATTTACAGCTACCGTCGACTGTCAAAAATACATCTGGCTGTCTATCGCAATTTTACTCAGGAAGTGCAAAATAATGCCATTCAGTACTTGTTGTCACGTTTTGTGAGACTAACTAATTGTATTAATACTGCGTTGCTAGTAGACTTTTGTGTCACTCTAGCTTACCTTCAAGCAAATATTTTCGATTTATCCCAGAATAAAAAACGCGAGGGTGTCGTTCAAAACTGCATTTACTTGACCAGCAACTACATTGGGTTTTTCCCTTGACTTTAAACAACAATTTTATCTTGCCATGCAGTGCCACCTCCACCCTCTCACTCTTGTCACCTTCGGAACAAGAGAAGCAAGGTATTACATCCCCCGTCGGAGACAACATGCAGAAACTCTGTCCCTTTGACTGGAGTGACGATCAAGACATGAAGGAACAGGAAAGTTTTGACGCCCTAATTGAATTGAGGACTCATTTCCCCAACTATGAAGTGCCTACCAAGGTTTGTTGAGTGTTTCATACGGACACCATTGTGTGTGATTTCTCGAGTACTTTTAAAAGTGCAGGCTTTGAATCCTAAATCTGAGTTGAAAGCCAAGTCGTTAGCTTGTTGTTGTGAACTTGAGCAAAATACTGTGTGAATTTCAGTTGCTGTCGCTATTTCATAGTAATTATAGTAGAGTATATAATTTTTACTGTCAGATATTATTTAAAAAATTTAGAGCAGCATTGTATTCCAATTCAGTTATCTTAAAGAAGAGGAAGACGCGATCTCTGGGGCACGCATATTCGCTTACATTCAGTGATCTTAATGTATGACCACAAACTGAAGCCGCGTACTTATGTACATTGGTTATTAGGCTGCCACTCTTAATTTTGGCATGTATTCTGTTTCCGCTGCGATACAATGTTATTTGATTTTCACTGAATCTGCCCGACTTAAGAACACACTTCTTAACATCTGCGCATTAACAGCAAGCGTAACTGGGGCGATTTGCAACCACTTGATTGTCAACCAGATCTAAAAGTAGTATCGTGTGAATCAGGGGCTTTGGTTGCAAAATCTTTTTTCTGGAGTGCAGTTAGGTCTCTGGAGGATTTTTCCTTGCCTCAATTCCCTAAAGATTGCTGTAGTTCGGAAGGAATCATAATGTCCCATAATGTAAGTTTATTAAAAAGGTTCTGAGGGAAGTTTTCTAGGGACCGTTGCAAGAACTTATGCACGTTGAAAACGGGAAAAAAAGTTTCTAAATATTTTCTGAGTACATTATTGTTTGAAATGATAACCACTCAAAACCTAGACTGCTATCATACTTTATGGAAACAAGAATTATGGTTTCAGACAACTAATGGTCAAACCAACCGAATCAATCTTTGCTTTTTACAATAGCAACTAACTGAATTCGGTCGACGCTTTGATAGTTTCACCGAACAACGTTATTTCTCATTGCACTTACCTTCTCTTACTTCTTGCTTAATCATCTACTAGCAAGTCCCTAGAAGCCTGTGTAGTGTCTTATAGTTTTACTCATCCACTGTTCCACAAAAAGGCTCGTTATTTTAACATTTACTGTCACCTTTCGACGACTAGGACAGCATTTATAATTGCAGGGGAATCAGGCGGCTCTCGCCGGTGCAGTTTTTTAATTATTTATTAGGCCATTATGCATAGTAAAGATTGGAAGAGGGAAATCAACAATTTACCGACAGTCACATACCGAGTCGTACACCTGCGCAAGCCGCATGTCTCATGCGCTTAAATGGCCACCCCACGTAGGAAAAACACATATGCTAGCTATGCCGATAAACCACGAAGCTTCGTCCCCTACAGCTTTCCTCGCCCCGCCTTCGACTTTATGTCCTCCAGTCGTTTGGCCTTAACAAGTTCCTCAGAAGAAGTTGTATAATGTCTGAAGAAGGCGCCAGCACATGAGAAAATAACATACTTGACATTTATCCATAAGTCAGGAATGCAGTAGAATGCTAAAGGTGATGCTGCCACGCGCCTTTCAATTTTGCTTGCCGTTAATTAGATTAGTCTGAAAAGTGTAAATATGCCGTCCGCGAAAGATAGATAAGCTATTGCCTTCGATCGCTGGTAGACGGGTGTCTTTGGCTTCCAAATTAATTTTCCTTTATTAGTGCTATTGGCAGAAATATGCGTGGTAAATCTCTCATGAAGCGCGCATTATACGTAACACCGCCAAATTGCCGCAGTTTATAATAAGCTAACAACAAAATTCTGCTCTCTAGCTTTCAAATGTCCGTTTTTCTTAGCCGAAATACCGGCAGTTTGTCATCTTTAACAGATAATATTTAAAAAAAAGATTTGAGCCAGATAAACTCACGTTTTTTTCTAACGACTGCGGGCGTACACATTTTGTTTCCAATAGAGGACATGCGTTAAATGGTATTCCTGTTGTTGTCTGTTACACATATTTGGAGCGAATTAGTATGAAATTGTGTAGATTATTTTACTCGTAAAAAATACGAAATTTATATAACTTGAAGCGCTGAATTTCTTACAAAGGGCCCTAGGGTGCAAGATCACGTGCGAACACTGGTCCTCCTCGAATTTCACCAGAAAGTTCGCTACATGGTGAGCTACCTAAAACAATTTGACTACCTGCTCATCCGGCCATGGCCAGCCGAACACAAATACCTTCGCGAGATGTTGTGTTTGGACCACATCCCACTGCTGATTGGACTGTTTCAAAGCCTTGTGGCTGTGATTGAGTCCACTGTAGAACCTCAAGGCTACGGAGATCTGGCAAACGCAGTTTTAGAATGGCTCACGGTGAATAATGGCGAAAACCTAAAGGTGAGTTATATTAACTATAACCTGTAACAGGTCCTACGCTTTTATTCAGGCCCTTTGAGCATCAGTGGCTCCTTCAGCAAATTATGCTAAAATGTTTAATTTTTCTATGATTCCACTCAGCACAGGGTCGATATTTGTGTTTTGATTTTTGACTGCTATAACTAGCTTTGCACTAGCCTAATATACACACGAAACAATATGAATGTGTAAATACTCACACAATAGGAAATTCAATCGGCAATCGCGGTCATTTAACAAACTACAAGGAACTACCGCGGTCAGTTATCTATCGTTTCTGTCCTATTGTAACGGGGGAGCGGGTGGATGTGATATACAGGAGTTTGACTTACTAAGACTTACAGGTTAGACAGCATACTGGATTGCTGCACTTAAGGAATGCGAGTTCTTAACAACAGGTAAAATATGTGCCAGAGTAATAAACAGGAGGAAATGGTCAATTGGTACTTTGGCTTTGGTTTGTCATAAGAACATAGTGGTAATTGGAAGGGGTATCATGCCGGTACTGCGCTAGGCCTTCCGCATAGGCCACAGGTTCTTATTGTGTGTTTCGTGAGTACGACTACAGACATTTTGCCAAAAATGCGAACCTAGCGCTCATACCGTGCCAGCTGTGTAAATTAAGCAAACGACCTTCGTGGTTGGCGTCCACGGCTGTTCCATTAAACCGGTTTGTAAGGACACATAGGTAACGGGCAGAAATGTTTTTAAAACGCTGCTGGCAGTCTGTTGTTAAATCATATGTTCAAATTATACTAAGTATTCAGCCGCATTCCTTTATTGCTGCCGTTACCTCAATTTAAATTATCAGACGTTTTTCTATGCATAAAAAATGGGAAGAAACTACGAAAGAATCCATGAACAAGGGCAAAAACTGAACGTAATCAATAGTCGAAATGTGTGGCTGTTTTTAGCTACTTGCCTTTTTAAAATACACTACAGCATATGTCAGAAAGGGCAATAGCTGATTATGTGTCCTCCTCTGTAATGGATACCTACCCCTGACAGGTAAGAGTGCTTGACTTTAGCGATTCCTTTTACCCACAACCTATAACCAACGAAATCAAAAATACAAGTCGCTTACTTATTATTATTTAACGTTTCTTTTGACAAAAATATTTTTTTTAATTTTTTGTGTGGCAGCACAATGCTGCCTGAATGTGTTATGTTAAAGCAACAGCGGTCTAGTTTACCATTGTTTTAGATATGAGATGTGTTTTTTTCAATTTCGTTGATAAATGCCAGCGACGTCCATTGAATTATTCGATGTAATGCAATGACTTGCATAAGAAAAAGCAAATATATGGAAAAATTAAACAAAAGGCCATTGAAAGAAACCAAACCTTTACTTTTGTGAGTGTTCGTATGGAGGCAAAGCTTCAAAGAGAAAAATACGACGAGAATGCTTATGAGTTTCACAACTTAAATATATAAAGTTGTTTTCGAGCACTTATGGGGTACCGGTACCAACACTGAAGTACAATATAATTAAATAGTAAGACGACACAAGCTCTGGAAAAACACTTAGATTCGGATTTTTGAGATTAATTTCCTTGATAGCACAAACTTGGCTTTCAGAAGACACAATTTAAACAAATCAGAATATGCATTTTCTGCTTATACACAAGTATTAGAAAAAAGTGCAAAAAAGTAAGCCCTTCCCTTAAAAAAGATATATCAACAAGTAATCCAGGTTCAGAGCACACCTCGGGATTAAGGAGTACTGGTATTCATAGGTGTTGCCCACGGACGTTCCTCTTATGTCAATTGCTGCGGAATAAGAAGCCTCGGTGCTGCTGTTAGTCAAACAGCATATGCTGTATACGTCAAGAAACAGCTATTTCTTTCTCGTCCTTTTCTCACGGTAAAAAGGCTGCATCCCACACTGGTTGCTGTGTGTGACCGCCTGTGGTGTTGCAAACACGTTACTGGCAAATAAGATCGTTAGAGTGACAGATCACTAAAATGCATGAGTTGTTTTAAAATTAGTCATTGTTTTGCAGGACCCCTTTCACATGGAATGCGACTTGTTTATGCCATGGGGGCATT